TATATATAAAGATTGTAATAAGTTTTATAACCAAGTTGATATATATATTTTAAAACTCAATTAAATAAATTAATTAATAATAAATATTTTCTTTTGATATTTTCTTTCTTTGATATTTTGTTTTTTTTTTGCAAATAAAATGCAGTGCCGAAAGGAACTTATGCTATTTACAGATATATATTGGATGTATAATCATTTTAATATAATTAAACAACTTTGTGAAATATTAAATGAATATTAAATTTTATAAGTTTAAATAATAAAATTAACAAAATCATTATTTATATTGTGGTAAACAGAGAATTTTACTGTAAATATTATTATTTCATTTTTTTATTACAAAAAGAAAAACAGACAAAGAAAATCCACACGGGCACGAGTTTTTATTAATAGAACACATGCGCTATCTTAATCAGTTGCACTGATCCACATACGGCGCTACTTTATCTAATAAATTAGTTTCTACAATACTGTCATATGAATAACTGTCGGAAATGTCTATATATATTTCTGTTTTCTTCAGATATTTTCTTAGTATACATATATCAGGAAAAGATACTCATTTTTATTTTTTCACTTATCTGAAAGATATAGAAAATTGTTAGAATAAATATATACATTATATGTAATAAACCATATATGCAGATAATGTTGGAATCGTGTTTAATGACACTACTAAGATAGCAAGATTATAAACTTACTTTAACACATGCTTATAGCTTCTAATAAATAATGGACACATCATATAAGTAAATAATTTAAACCCGATACAAACTTAATCAAAAAGTTGTAGGAATTATCACCAAGTGGTACTACCAGAAGATCCAGAACAGTACAAAGTACAGCCGTTAATTAACCTGATTTATTTTTTGGCTTATTCTGTTTGAATCATCCAAAAAAGCTATGGTGTAGAGCACATTTTAGTAGCCATGGCATGATAACAAAAACCCAAAGACGACTCTGATGGCTATAAAAATTTCGATTCAAAATTTTTCGAGAACTTGACCAACAGCAGTTTTAAGGAGATATTAGTTTATAGAGAGTACTTTAAAGAGACCAATATTGATTATCACAAATCAGTTCCTGTTGCTGTTGTAACCCACCGGGATCTGCTTGTAAAGTCCCTTTGGGGGTGTTGAACGGCACTTGGTGGTTGTGGTTGTGGTTGAAGAGTGGCTCCAGGAGATAGACACGATCGTTCTTGGAACCAGAATAAATTCCTTAATCTTTTCGATTAATTTACTTTACTACTAAATTGAATTGTAAAAATACAATGATGTATGTCCAGTATGTATGTTGCAGTGCGGAATGTGCTGACAGTAATTTATAGAAAAAATTACCCATTAACGTTTACTAATAGAATATACCAAATCGCTAATTAATACAATTGGTTACTTACAGGATACTGTATAATAGGAACCTGTAGTGACTACTATTATAGGTATGGTTTAGAGAAGAAAATGAAATATGCTGCTCATCTACATAGTCGGTTATTATCCCTTCCTAAAGATGGTTCATGCGCTCTGGGTTCTCCTTTTGTAAAGTATATCTAGAACGTAGGAATTAAAGATATTGCCTGCCTTGTTAAAGGGACACATTACGTTTCCGGTTCAGAAATAGTTGCCACCTACCCAAATTCTCAATTGTCAAGTAGTTGCTAAAAATTTTTTATCATGTAACAAAGAATTTACTACTTTTTAGGACTTAAATGAATCTGGTCTTATATGCTTGGGCTAACACTATGGACTATTATTTAAAACTTGGAGTGAAGTATTTTATGAATACTTAAGTATTATTTGAAGTTATTATATATTAAAGTTTAGTCTATAAAAGCGAAAAGATCTGTTGCGATATTGATATGACTACTATAAAATGTATGTATTAATTCAGATAAATATACTAACATATTAATATTAGATTTCTTAACTCTAGTACATATAAAACTGAAATAAATAAAATATATATAATAAATAAATAAATACATCAACTTTTCAATTTATTAGTTTTACTCAACTACTGATCCAACTCAGCTAATCAAAGATCAATCCAAAAATTTTATTAAATCTTAGCAGAATTAGGTTCTGCGTGAAGGTCTGAGTGAAGGTAATTTAAATATACACTAATGTATTTACTTGTTAAACATTATATTAATTTTGTTTTTTTTAAATAGTTCGTTATAAATTGTTCAGCCATACAATTTGGGGAGCAGGAATCTTTTTGTGGCTGCTTGATAACCAGTCCGACAGTCCGATAACTAACACATTTTTTTAATATCTCGGTTCAGACGTAATACTCTCATTGGCAACAGGATTCAAAAACGATTAATTGTTCATTATACTCCTGGTATGTTATGTTTGATATTGAATATACAAGACCAGAAGAGTGCAACTTCTTATATAGATTGGTTCATTATTTTTACTTTAAACAGGATTTCATAACACTTTTGTTTTGTTTAATTTGATATGAAATATATAAGACAATAATTCAAATATAAACTTTTCATTCTTTTGACTTTTTGGTGTTTACTGTTCATCTTTGGTGGAACAGGGTTAAGATTAGTAGTGAATTATTTGGTGGGACCAACTTTGAATCCAAATATAAACTTTTCATTTTCTGACTTTAAACACTCGTTCTTCTTTAGCGGAACAGGGTTGAGATTACTAGTGAGTTACTTAGTGAGGCATCGTGTGTTGCGCTATATAAAGTGATATCTTACATACAATAACGTAGAATAATGTCAGCCTGAAAGGACGAAAGACTACCAGTCAGTATCTTTGTGGTCTGAACTAAGGTCTGACTGTACTAAGGTTAAAACTTATAATCACTTCTATAATTAGAAGCTTTCCAACTCCAGAATTTATGGACTGGATAGTAGTACAAAAGTTTTCTAAATGTTGCATTACACTACACTTTCAGGAAACTAAATTCGTATCTATCTATTCAAAACATCTATATATCTTTCTAAAATACAAAGAGTACATGCCACCTAAAAAAGTAGAGGTCTTTTATCAAAACACTTTTCCACTGAGTTTTAGTTTTATAAATAAAGGCTGATGCGGATAAATTGAAATGATTTCATGAACATCAGATGAAGAGAAATGGGTGCGGATTGATGATTTATACGCAGCAATGCTGGCATTGATATAGTATAAAGAAAAAGCGTCAACGTCGCTGATATGCATCGTGCTATTGACTGATCTCTTATTATTCTTTCTTTCTTCACAATATAAACATTTGCAGTTTTGTTCCCAGTTGATGGGACATTTGTGTAAGAATTAAAACAATGTGATCCCGTTCACCAAACAGGCAATGATGAGCACATGCTTGAAATGACCTAAAATTAGTTGATTTTCTTGACAATGTATTTATTTTATTTTTAATTGTTTTTATACATTATTTTCGTTTCTTTTTGAAAACAAAACAAAGAGACATTTTTCGAGACAAAATGGGACTGATTTATGTTCTTGTTTTTTATGGCGTAGTCAATTTCAGAACCAGTACTTCATTTTGTGACAGTAAACAAGTAACACGTCTAAATAAGAACAGGGAAATGTATTTAAAAAAAGGAGTAGTCATTAAACTGTAAACATTCAATAAGTATTTTTAACAATCATAGGTGAAGATGCTCAGGATGCTCAGAAAATATCTTAAACCATTATAAAACTTAGTTTTTAAAAGAAAATAGGGATAACTGATGGACTTTTACTTTTACTAAGTGGTTTTTGTTGTAATAGCTCGTCGTAATCTATACATTATTATTATTGTAACAAAGGGGATAGTGCATTGCAACCCAAAAGATCTATTGTGCCCCATGATCTACACATGGGACTACATGGATTAGGATATGGTAGTTAAGAAAATGTGAGGGAGGAGTGAATTGTTTGGGAACGAATGTTGATTTGGGTTAAAGTGGAGAAACCTAGTTACTTTAATGTAAACTTCTATCAGGTAGAAGTTAATAAATCTAGACTCCTTCGAAACCCTCAAATCAAATCAGCTTCAATTGCTGTCCAGACCAGATCCAATCGCGGGCCAATACTAATTACTGTGCAGATTGAAGGGCCGCAAAAACAAATACATACGTTCATAGTTGTTTTCGACAAAAATAAAAATAAGGTTATAATGTTTAGTTATATTAATTTATCAATTTAAATTTATTTATTTGGCATACCATAAAAATAAAATAATGTAGTTTTACCAGTACACCAAAAATTTTCGTAATTGTAGTAGATGTCGCGGGCCACACAAACATTAGGTGCGGGCCACACAAACATTAGGTGCGGGCCACACAAACATTAGGTGCGGGCCGCACAAACATTAGGTGCGGGTCGCACAGACATTACGTGCGGGTCGCACAAACATTAGGTGCGGGTCGCACAAACGTTAGGTGCGAGCCGCACAAACATTAGGGCCGTGCTTTGGACAGCCCTGTATTAAACAATACAACAGACGGCTTATGTAGCAATGCACCTGTTGGAAATGACATGACTCTTATAAGACACATACATAGTACCTATACGTGTGTATATTTAGTTAACAGGAAATTCAAAAGTACCCCGCACAATCTCAAGTACCCAGTGCCTATCCTATAAGCTATAATCATAAATTCACTGATGCACCGAAATATATTTAGTACAGAAATTTTTTTTATTATTAAATAAAAGCGTAAATAAAAAAAAAAAAAAACAAAATAACGTATTAACTGCAAAAGTAATAAAAATAATATTTATTCAGAGAGAGAGAGAGAGCGAGAGAAAATTACATCAAATTAATTAATGAGTATCAAAGGAAAAAAAGTAAAATTCACGAAATTTGCAAAACGTACACAACAACAAATTTATAATTTAAGCAAAAAATACAAAAGAATAATAAATGTTAATGTCAATTTTTATTATTAACTAGGACTTCCTACAATTTGCAAATAGAAAAAACCATTTGTGGGCGGCTTTCATCCAATATTATTACTAATATTTTGTTTTGCTCTCCTTTGCGTCACTTACCAAATTAACTAAATAATTAGCGAGTTGCCTGTTGCGCACTTCATTCAAAGAGGCAACTAGCACTTTTGCTTGATTTAGCTTTGCTGCGTAGCAAATCGTATGCAATAATTTTGTATTAATTTTCTCATCCGGAAAATTTAATTTCACTTCATCGACTAGTTCATCCATTATGAAAGAGTACTTCAACTCGAATTCGGAGAGCGGAATAGTGCACATAGAAAGCCACACTTTACGCTTAACAATTGTAAATTTTAGTAATTTTTATGAAAAGTTCTACAAACACAAAACTTAATGTATATTTTTTTTATAAGTAAAGCACTGTTCTGCAATTCTTTTGCGTACGGAAATCTTAAGCGCTCCCACGCGACCCTTCTCCGTTCTTCGATGAAAATTATAGAGCTACTAGTTTTGCATTTTACTTAATATTTTCACAATAGCAAAAAATTTTCCATTCAACAGAAATCAGCTGTTAATGACATTATCTGTATTTGACAATTATCAACGTCAAACTTTTTGTCTCTCTCATGATGTTGCCAGAGGTTTGCGTTTTGTTTATTATTTATTACGTGTTTTTTGCTATGTTTACGTGAGGCTTAAAATTAAATGAAAAAAAATATTTAGGACGTGTGCGAGTTAGACTAAGTTGATGCTGAACCAAATGGGAGATTTTTTAGGATTTTTTTTTGCACTGCATACATTTAGCCATTTATCAACACGTATCGACACATCACTTCATTATCGGCTCAACTTAGAATTTCCCTCATTTAGAACTTAGCCTAACTCGCATACGTCCTTAAAATCAATTTTTAAGAGTACGTGCACCCAATAATATTTGAACAAATTAAAAGATAGTGTTATGGTAGAATTTAAGCATTAATTTAGATACTAAATAAATTATTTCACATTGCTAAATTGTGTCATTCAATCGATATTTTAAGCAATTTAGCAAATCTGAAATAACTTATTTTAAATATTTATGTTAAGCTGAGACAACTTAACTGGAGCAACAATGAAATATGCAACGTTGCATTATGCACTGTTAACAGTGTTCCAATTAATTGATTGCTGAGGTATTATTAATATTGATATTTTTGCACAAAAAATAATATAAAAAAACAATAAAAAAATTAATCAATCTATAAAATCTATACCTTGATTCTTGTCGAAAACATAATTCTGCTTTATATAGAGTAAGTTTCAAGTGCTTAATCTATAACCAATAAGCAATATTGCTTATTGAATACTATAAGAATTAAGGCTTTTCAAATATACAGATGGTATTCAAAAATGAAAATCTCAATGCTAAGGACAGGATGCAGTTATACAACCAAATAATTCGACCGTCACTTCTATATGGATGTGTAGTGTTCAGCAAGGCCCCAAACGCTACTCTTTACCAACTAGAAATTGCACAAAGTCAGGCTCTGAGAAGACTTTTCAAAGTACCATGGTACATTAGCACAAATGACAAGCGCAGGAACCTGAAGATTGATCCGATCAAAAAATTCATATAAAGATAGAGCCCTGGAATTATTTACGAAAACTGACAGGCTTACCAACACCGCATAATCTAATCACAGAATGGTTACAGGCGTCTCGGGTAGGTGTGTAGATCTGAGGTTAGTTATTACTTAGTCTGATGAAGTGATAAACAATAATCCAGTCAAGGCGTGCAGAGGGGTTATGAAGAAATCTCGCTTTGTTCTATGTTCACACACACCTTAATTTCGCAAAAATCTTAATTTCATCTTCATTTTAGAGAAATAAATTAAAATTAAATAATAATACTTGTAATAAGTGTAAATAGTTTGTAAATTGCACAGATGTTTTTAATATTAGGAATTTCCCTGATGAAGGCAAAAGCGAATTTGTCGAAAAACGTATAGGAATATACAAAAATACGATCAAAATGAAAGTGAAACTCCTAAAAAAAATACCGACTTTGAAATTAAGTTGTTTTTTCCATACAAAATTCAGTTTTAAGGTTAGAACGAAATTAAGGAAAATTCCCTAATTTCGTTGAAACGAAGGCCGAAATTAAGGAACATTTCAAACGTAACTATGAGTAAGATAAAATTTAGGCAAAAGATAAAGTTGAGATTACAGTTGAAATGATAGTTGAGTTTAATAAAACCGGGAAAATATCTTGAAAGTAGAGAGTACAAAATGTTAGTACAGTATGAACACTTTCGAAATTAACTTATTTTCATTTTTACGAAATTAAGGAAATATGTCTGTCTGCACATTGTGTTATATATAGGCCGCGTGCGAGTTCGAGTAAATTGAGGGAAATACTGAATTATGTCGGTATAGCAGCGAATGTTGGTATTTACCAGAATTTCGAGTAGGGTGAATTAGATAAAAATTAGGTAAATTAGGTGTTATCATTGTGAAAATTTTATAAGATGTTTAATAAATAAATTTGAAAACTTTTAACCAAAAAAAATAAAAAAATTTAATAAATAAATTTTTACATAAATGTAAATATTCGAACTCGCACACGGCCATTATATATATTGTCAACAATGATTTAATCTGCAAAGATTAATATATTTATGTACCTAAATAATATATGTTAATACTACTATTAATCTTCCCAATGTTTAAATAAAAAATAAATAAAATTTCAAGTAATTAATTTTTATTCCAAATTACGTACAATTTTTCTTTGTTAATTACACAATCACAATTCAAACAGGAATTGTTTACAATATGTTTTTTCATTCATTGAAAAATTAAATATTAATGATTTGGTTAATTTTTTTTGTCTTGTTTAATCACAATTAACAATATTTTTTTTAATATTTTTGTACGTAAGAAAATATTTTGAACATGCAATCTACAAGTTGTTTTTTTACTTTAATATGGCTTCGTATATGTATTTTAACATAACAATAAATTTAAAATTTCTCATACAACAACAAACTTAATGCAATTACAAACGTGTAACAATTGTTAGATTTTTAGCATATGGTTTAAAATTATAAAAATGTTTTAATTTAAAACTTTGCTTTAATCATCTCATCTCACAAGAACAAAAACATTTTTTTTTAAGTTTTCTACTTAACCATTTTTTGTGGTTGTATCGCAAGAATATTGTATTTTTTTCGCGTTGCCAACACATATTTTTATTTAAAACAATAGTGAACTGAATTTGACGTTTTTGTAATTATTTAAAAAACCGCACAAATAATTATTTATGGTTTATTTATTGTTAGTTGTTTTGAAGATTGCATGTTCGTTTGTTTTTTTTATTTGGTTTGCACAAAAATTTTGAACAAAATATTTGTTTTAATTGTTAATAGTTACTCTTAAATTTAATATGTTTATGAACTTGTTCCATTTCTTTTTAATTGTGTGATCCGAAAATGAATTTGTAGACGTGTTTTTTTCTATTTTATTTTGATTTGTTTATTTTGCGTTGAAACCTTCAAGATACTTGCGATGACTTTGCTTTTTGATGGTGAAAAAATTTGCAAATATATATATTTTTGATTATCTTGAAGCTATTTAAAAAAAAAATTAAATTAGATCAATTAATTATCTTGTATTATTAGGAATATTATTAATGTGTGTGTTTAGTGGTAAACCAACGAAATTTATAAATTTAAGTATTATTAAGGACTTGTAACTTTTGTAAATAACTTCAAAAAAAATTTAATTTTATTTATAAATATATATATTGCTACCTAAAGCCATATCTTTCAAATATAAATACTTCTGTACAAAAAAAACTTTATTTTTTTTGAGGAACTGTTTTACAATACACATTTATGTTAAGTTAGGCTTAATGCATAATGTCAATAAAAATTTAAATTAATATTGTTATAGTGTTATATCGACACTTAAGTGTAGATTGAATTAATCGTCACTTATAAATAAATCCAATAAACATAAATGTATATTGTTAAATTAATCCTCAACAAACAAAAATTTGTAAAAAATTAAAATTAAAAAAATATTAATAATATATTGTTTTATATTGTTTTATCTTAAAAAAATATTATATAAGACTGGATTATGTAAAAAAAAATTGTTTATTAATTGTAACAAAATTATTATATTATTATTATGATTTATAGTATTTAAAAATGAGTATTATTATTAACTGTAATGTTTCAATTATACAAGTAAATTCATTCTAATTTATATATAAAACAAAATTATTTAAAATCAAATTTAAAATTTATTTTTAAATAAATTTTGAAATTTATATGTATAAATTATGTATTTAAAATAAATGTGATAATAAGCTCGTATATCTGTGATATATAATATCATATAATAATGAGCTGTGCTGTTTTAACTAAATAAATATAAATATTAATTAATAAAAATATTACACTAAATATATTTTAAATGTTTTTTGTTTATTTAAATTCATATAAAATTATACCTTAAATTCATATATACATATATAGTAAAACTAATAACAATAATATTGATAATTATACACATTATTTATATATCATTAAAAATTATGTTTAAAATATCTACTTAAGATTTCCTTATATATTTCATGTATTCTTATGCTTTTGTTTAGATACTTATATAGAACTATTTACAAAAAAAAAATACTTAAAGGTGGTATAGTGATTTTTAAAACAATTCAAATTATTTACGAAGTTATTTATAAACTAATTGTTCAAATAAAATCATTTTAAATCCTTAATAAAATAAATAAATTTTTTAATTAAGTATTTTTTTAAAAACTTTTGTTGTGGTTATTTTAAGTATAGTATTTATAATAATGATTAAACAAAATATAAAGCAAATATATAGTTTAAAGTATAAAATAAAAATACAACACATTTATAATTCATTATATGTATAAAAATATTTACAAAAAAAAAAAATTCACCAACTTTATAAATTACGTTTTTAGTCTTTATATATATATCGTACATGTATGGTAAAAATAAATTTTATATATATGTAAATATATGTATATATATCATACATATTGTATATATATGTATATATATCGTACATATTGTATATATATGTATATATATCGTACATATTGTATATATGTGTATATATATTAAATACATTATATAGATATATAAAAAACTTATAGACATATACAACTTATATACATATATATCTTATATACATAATATCATGTACATATAATACATATATCTCATAAATATGTATTACATATATATAACACATTGTTACATTATATTAATGTGTAAATATATAAAAAAAATATGAACTTTATCTTTTAATTTAATATGCTGGATGGATATTTTTAAAGAATTAAAGATAGAAGAATTAAAGTTATAGTATACATAAAAATCAAATCTGAACATAATCCAAAATTCAAATAATATAGTTAAATAAAAATAATATTTTACATACGAGTAATTTATAAGTTAACATTGGAATGCTATTTTTGGTTTAGTGTTGCCAATTACTCGTATTAATTGGCATTTTTAAAGTGTAAAGTGTTTTGTGTACATTATTGATATAATTATTATAATAAAGCAAATAAATAAAAGTATAAAAATAAAAAAAAATTATTTAAAATTATTTACGTTTTTTCTAATGTAACGTTGAAAATAATATTTTAGGTGCTAGCCGTTATTGGCATAGCAGTGGTAACCGCAACACCAGGTGGAGCATTTTTCTTAATACTGGAACGGCGAGTACGTGTAGGACGACGACGCTGAGCCTTGATTTCGTTATTAACAAGAGACGACGGCTTGGTGGTACTATCAACCTCCGGAATATTACTATTGCTAGCTTTATCGCCACCACCACCTTGCTCAGAGATAATACTTTCCGGCTTAGATGAACGTACAGCTAAAGAATTAAAAAAAAAAAAAAGAAAATATTGTATATATTTTTGATAATATTGTTAATCAGTGGTTTGTGATTTAAACTTACTTCCACCATTGCGCTTGTTGCGACGACGATTAATGGTTAAATTCTTACTTTGTATAACTGGTTTTATAGTGGTCTTTGTTGGATCATAGAAACTATCAAACAAATCTGCCAGTTCCTTTTTATCTTCAGACTTTAATTCAGTAATTTTTTCCAGTGCTGCAACTAAACCATCTTTCTTCTTCTCAGACCAAACCTCATTTAGAGCATTTAGGGTATAACCTTGCGCGGCAAGTATAATACGGAATTTAACAGCACGAACACGATGATATAATGTGGTCTTGAAATAATGCAAGAACACTGGACGGAAAGAATTTTGACGTTCCAAATTTTCATTTTCCCTCTTCAATTCGGATAAATCAAAATCTATAGGTTGTGCGTATGGATGCAAAGCAATTAGCAAATTGTCCATTGCCTTAACCGAATCAATTGATTCATTGGTATTTTGATTACTCAATTGTAGAGCTACTTCCAATGCCAATTTAGCACGTACACTAGCATTACCATCAAATAGATCACGTTCACGACGTTCAGTCAACTTTTGAGATTTTTGGGAATCAGTTGATGAATTGATTTCCTTAGCTTGTGTTGCATCCTGTATCTTGCTAGACAATACACGTGATAGTTTACGCAATGAATAACGTTGTAGACTCTCATTCTCCTTCAATTGAGTCAAACAAAGCCCATTGGTAAACGACTTAACAGTATTTAGAAACCTATCTAGCAGATTGTATTTCTTAAGAGATTCAAGTATCATGTATGGAATGAATTTGCGCTCCTCATGGTAAACTAAAATAACACCCAAAGAATTGGAATCCTTAGTCTTAATTAATTCCAGCCAATCCAAAAAGTCCTTCAAAGCAGCAATTTCAGACTTAGACTTGATAATCTAAATAAAGGATGGGATTTAAGGAAGTAAAATAATAAGTTAAAACTAAAATTAAGAAATAAAAGAAAAATATAAATAAAAAAATATGATCTATTTTGAAAAAAAATATATTATAAATTAACAAAATTTTAGATGAGATCTAACAGTGTGATTGTTGACAACAATATCGGGATCCTGATTCGATTGCGAGAGCTATTAAAAAAAATTCTGATGTTTTATTTTATTTTGATAGTTTTTTAAAGTTCATTTGAATATGTTTTAAAGATGACTATTAAATAAAGTTTAAAATATATTTTTTATAAGACAATAGATCGGGAGCAAAACTTTTATTCATTGCTTATCTCCCAACAAACCGAACAGCCTCCTATCTATATCGTAACAATATCTTACGTAAGCAGCCAGGTCTACGAAATCCTTAAGGTTTTCATTCAAAGGATCGTTAAGCATTTCTATTAAACTCTATTCTTATAGCCAGTGTAGTCGCTATAGCTTATTCATCGGAATTTCACTACCTCCGTTGATTTAAACGTTGCTTTATATAACGTTGCATATAAAAAAAAATATTAATTGTCGGTATATGATTAACAACCTATTGAAGAATTCGGATGGATATCATTTCAGTTTTCTTTTTGGTTCTAAAAACTACTATCGGGTATATAAGGGTCTCCGATTTGTACAAAACCCTTTTTTTGTTTTCAGGTTTGATATGTAAATGTTCTAGTAAGCCACAAATAAAAATATTTATTTAGGTTTTCGTTAAGTGAACAAGAGATTGGATACATTTTACTATATCTATAATTTTTTAAGAAAAAAAATCTTACACTATTTATTTTGAGAGTTGAAATAAGATTATACCAAAAAGTAATGTCAATAATGAAAGAAAATGAAGTTAATGAATAAAAGAGGAGGAAATAATATATAAAAATTAAATGATTATTTTTTTTATATTATTATATATAGAAGCAATTTTACTTACCTTATAAGTTTGCATAGACTTCAACATGCGATAGAAACCAATGGAGATAACGCGAACCTGGTGACGTTGACGTGCAGCTGGATTAAGATTCATATATGGCATGATGTACTGCTCAAAGTGGTCTTGTGGTGTGTAAGCGGCCAATTGAACAATCTATAATATATAATTGAAAAGAATTAATCAGAATGAAAAGAATTTATAATAATGAAAAGAATTAATAAAAATTTTAAGACAGATTTTTTTTTTTTGGATAATTTACCTCATCAATTAAACGACGTCCAGTAGTATCGATGTCAATGCCAACCAAAGTATATTTGCCAGATGGCAATATCTTAGTAGAACTAATAAGAATATCATCAGAACCAGCTGATGGTGCTACTTGAGTAGCTGGACTATCACCAATATTTGCATGAACCATTTTGATTTTTTTTTATTGAAAATCAAACTGTGAAGAAGAATTTAATATAAATACTAATTAATTAGTTTTATATATTCAATATATGTATAAAAAAAAATTACGGATAAATTACACGAATAATTTTACACTTCGGTTATGCGTATACACTGGCAATACTTCGACAAGTTTTTTTGCACATTCGAACGTGGAAATCTAGCTAAAGTTTATATAGTATAGACGCTAAGATAAATACATTTGCTTTATTATAAAATAACTATGGCTTGATGTGGTCTTAAAAAATATAAAATAAAAGGGGATCTATATAAAAGTAAGCGACACAGGCATAAAATATTGTATATTATATTTTTCAATATAAGCGCATATACGTGTTTTATTAACATATATTTTAAAATAAACTATTAACAGTTAGTATTAATAAAAAAAAATTCATTTACATTAACAATTATTAACAACTTATAAATGAAATAGCAGTTTGTGTAGTAAAAAATTTTCTCTACAAAGTTGACAGTTAACGGTTCACCTCAAAATTACAGTAAAGAACAAAATGGCTGCCAAATACGAGAGCCCGCAAAATTGAAAAGATTTTTTTTAAGAAATAATAAAACCTCTAAAATTTTTAACAATTTCAACTAATTTATTATTAATTTTTTTATATAATTTCAATTAAGGAAACAAAAGCTTATGTTTCGATGGAAACTTTAAATTTATTTGTAAAGTTTGGTGAAGTCCCCGTTTCCACGAATTGCAAAAAAATATATTTTTATTTGATACATGAATTAAAAATAAGATTTTACTTACATTTATTAATATTTTTGTTAAATTAAATCAATTTCACTTTAAAAATGTTAAAATTTTCAATTCCGTAAGAAAAAACTGAGGCTATGAACTATTATTTTTCGAGCACAAACCGCGAACTCAAAGAGCAAACCACACTCGACAAGCTACTGAAAGCAACTGATTTATAATAGAATCGTAATGAATGTAGTAAATTTTTTTTTTGACGAAGTAAAACGAATAAATACGAATGCAACTATTAAGAATGTTCTAGATTTTTTTTTGACAATTAAAAAGTGTAGAAACAAGGATATGTATTAATACATATGTTTCTGTCTCTTTTTATCAAATAAAAAATTAAATACTAATTTATGAAGAATTTTATTAATTATTAGATATTAGTTGTTAATTTGTTGTTGCATATTACTATCTTTAAATGAAAGCTTAAGTTTTATTTATTTTTTTTTATATAGAAATAATGATGTTTATGGTACTCTTACTTCTATTGGATGGTAATAGAATGTTAACATAAAATACAATTCCAATAAGAAAAAAATGGCAGCTGTCATGTTTGAAAAAAAAAAATTAAAAATTAAACTGAAAAAAAAATTTTAAAATTTAATTTTTTTTATGAATCAATTTTAAGATAAAATTAAAAGTATAAAAGGACAAAACGCGTAATATTGCGTAAAATATATTTGGAGATATTTATTCGCTGCCTCAACTAAGTCTCCAAAGGACAATTAAATAGTTTACACCAATAAAATATATAGCTTTTTTTTTTTTTATTAATTTTTAATATTTAAGAAATTTTATTTATTACAATAAGTAATAAGTAAATAGCATTCAAATTCTCTATAAATCGCGGACAATACCAGAAATATATGTTTAACATATTAAGAGTTCAATTTTACTTACCTTTAAATTGTTGCTTTCTGCTTTCTTATATTAGAAATTGAAAATTGTATGTTTTTCAAACAATTATCTGAAAGAAAAAAGAAAAAATATGAATTTAAATAAAAATCAAAAAATTTGCAATTATTTTCCCAACTTACCGACTGAACAAAATAGTTCGAGTACCGTCGTAACGTTATGAAAAGACAAACTTACTTAATGTATCTTTCCCTGAACTAAAAAACTTCTAAATGTACGCCTGCTGCACACAACGGTACGTACGGCACTTTTCTTAGTTGTTGTTTTTCTTTTATTTTTTCTATTTTGTTTTAGAGAAAAACGTTTCGGCTAAATTGTTGTCGAATTCGTTTGTTTACGTTAATAAATTTCCGTTGTTTTGCGAGCTAAGCTCTTTTCAAGTTGCAAGCAAACGTGTTTAGAGAAACGAAACCGTTCGAACAAGACAAAAAAATAAACTGAATTTTAATAATTTTTATTTGAGCAGGTCGATTTTTCAACAATTTTCAAAACCTACTTTGTTTCCTTAAAATTTACACATACATTAATTTTTTAATTTTGACATTACAGTAAATTAACTAATATATTAATAAAATTATTAATATACGTATAATATATATATATATAAATATATTATATATATACATGTACATATATATATACATAAACTTTTAAAAATATAATTAGTTGAAAATCCCTTTACAATGATAAATAAAAAAACTTTTCAAAGAATTTACAAATTATTGGGAATTATTTCATCTTATTCTTGGAATCTTATTTTAAATTAATAATTTTAGGTTATTTAAAATTTTTTGTTTTTGTTATTCCAATTAATTCCTAAATCATTATAATAGTTTTTAGTTTAATAATTACCTTTGCTTAAGAAAATTAAATTTAATTTAAATGTTATAATTTCAAATTAAATCAAAACTGATAAAATTCGGCAAACGTTGACTTTGTCACTTCACTTCTTTCACCAAATACGCTTGATTTGCTATTGAACTGAACTAACTGATAAGCGGTCGTTTATTTGACAATTAAAAACAAATGATTTATAATTAGTAATTCTACACTAATATTTCTACACAAAGCAACCATCCAATACAAAGCGTATACGCAAATTTTTATGATAAATAAAAATGTTGAACTTAAGGCCGTGCGCGAGTTTGAGTAAATTGATTGATGAAGTAAACTATGTCGGTATGAAAGCGATAGGGTAAATTCGATAGAAATTAGGTAAATTAGGTGTTACCATTGTGAAAATTTTATAAGACGTTTAATAAATAAATAAATGTTAATAATTTTGTGACCAAATAAGTCACAAATAATAAGTGCTTATTTTTTTATAGGCTAATTGGTCACAAATAAACACTTAATAAATAAATAAATATATTTGAAAACTTTTAACCAAAAATAATAAATAAGTGCAATAAATATATATTTACACAAGTGCAGTGCAAAAAATCCCATGGCCTAAGATGTATTTGGACATAGCTTGATAACTTCATATTCGGTAGTCATAAAAGAAGGATATTTAGATATATTATTTTTAATAGTTAATTTATATGAAACTCTATAAAGAAATATAATAATATTGCATAAAACTGTTACTTACAATATTAACGAATAACCTAGGCATTAAAAGTGCAATTACAATTTATGTCTTAAACGAATCTGTTAGCTATATGTTATGTAGCGATCAAAGCTTTCTCAGTCACTACATTAGTTGTTGTTTTTAATGTATTAAAGTTTTTAATTTAAATCTAATATTAAAGTCTATTTCGCACAAAAAGTTAACATTGAACTTCAAGTAAAAAAATTGTATATTATGTCAAAAATCAAATCAAGAATAGCTGATAATAGGTCTGTTCCATGAGCTACTTGTAGTAACTTTGAGTAACACTGTGTATACACAAGTGGGTTCCACCAGCAAATTTTCTAGTAAATAAAAGCATCTGAGAGAGCGTAACTTCCCTGTCGAAATTTGAAAATGCTACACAGACTTTACTCATAAATTTTATTTCAAGTAAAATTTTTGTGATGTGTGAATCAGCTATTTTGGTTTGAATTTAAATTTTTGTATTGTGTATTTGTGCGGCAATGGTGCTCTCATCAGAAATTTACACAAAGGATCGTAATTTGGCACTTTATTTGTGTTACGCACTCAGTTTGTACTTTACTTGTGTTTTACTTGAGTTTTATTACCAGTAGCTCGTGGAACAGACCTAATAATATAAACCTATAAAATAGTTTATGTTTAACACATAAAAATTATTATAAAATCTATTTGTTCGTGTGAATATAATTAATATATAAATGTCTAATAATTTTTTCACTATTCAGAAATTAATAGTATTTTGCTATAACAAAGATTTTTATCTACGATAAAGTAGCAATTTGTGCTCATGAAAATTATCTTTACTCTGATTATACTTATCCAGCTTAATTGATGATCAACGTACTTAATAAGATTAGGTACAAGCCTGCACAATTTCTGGCTCATTATCTAAAGGACATTGTCTACATTTCTCGCTCTACATTCGTGGTTACAATAACCCTTTGCATAGAATTTACTTTTAACCACTAATTACTATCTAGCAAGTATTACTATCTACTATCCATCATCATTTCTTTCGTTAATTTATCTACAAATTTTGCCTAAAAATAATGGTTGTCGAAATACTATCCCATGTGTATGCTAATTACTTAAATTACTTAAATATCTTGTAATACTTTATTAATTGTAATAACTTATACCGGATTCACACGATATTTTGGATTGTAATTTAGTTGTTATTTCAAACTCTTCATGATTTCAATAGCAAAACAACTTCAAATCAGAAATATTTGAATGAGAATTTTGACAACTGAAAATATGATTGGTAATTTTTACAAAATCATGTCAATTTTAATTTGTACAGTTCACCATAGTATAATACTGTGCAGTACAAATTTATGCTATTGTGAATAGTTTTGATAAATGCATGAAATTTCCATACAAAATAAAACAAAACTGTTATATATCATATGAATATGTATATCAAAGTGCAAAGTGTTTGTTATATTTAAAATTATTTAAAAAGTGTGGACATATGATAAATCCAACAATCTAATTACAATGAAGATTGTGGGAATCAATATTTTTGCTTTTTGATTTCAGATGTAAGTTTAAAATTTTTGACAGCTAAAATTACAATCATAACTCTCGTGTGAACCGAATATTAAACAGTAAATTAAAGTTTACTTTATTTCTATTGTAATTGGAATTATACTTATTCAGCTTTTAAATATATGTATAAATTTATCTATATATACAAATATATATATAACTTTGAGTTTATATGTTAACTGACCTATGCTCAACGGCTTTTAAATGCAGTCGTATGTATGGGCTGCTTATTTATTGTCGTTTCTGACAGCTCACAAGTTTCTTTTTGGAATTATTGTTTTGCAAGGCAAATGTCACTTTACGTGCGACAAGTTCTTCCCACTACAAAGCAACCAAACAGCTCAACAGCTGGTATTCTACGTCATAAAAAAATCAAACTTTTGAACTTTAAAGAAATCTTGGCATATATTCCGAGTGAAACTGAAATCATATTAAAATACAATACTCGAATGTTATTTAGTAGAATATTGTATGTATATAAATAAATATAACACCAGATACCTCAAAAGAAATCAGAGCAAGCTGTTACATATTGACATTGATAAAAAAAAATCATTTGTGTGATAAGAGAGTGTTTAATTGATAAAAGCAATTACAAAATGCTTTCTTATATTAAACGTAAATTATCAGAGTCAGATAGTAGCACCGCAAACAATACAGTGTTCGGCGGAGCTCTAACGCGTAAAATACAACAAATGGCGTTATCGAATGAGGCAATACCGGTTGGTGAGGATGCGCTCCTACAGGATTTAGGCTACCAAAATGCTGATGATTTAAAGGAAACAATTTATGGTTAAAATTTTTATTTATAATTAATTTATGTTACATAAATGTTTTTATTGAAATTATTTTCTTATAATTTTCAGATATTCTGCGCAGTATACGTGACCCAGAAAAACCAAATACATTGGAGGATTTAAATGTCATATATGAGGATGGAATTTTTATTCTTCCACCAACAAAGGCAAATGTGTCCGTCGTAAGAATATAGTAAATTATTATTTAATAGATTTATTCTGATTGCGTTTTTGTTAAGGTGCGAATTGAATTTAATCCAACTGTGCCACATTGTTCGTTAGCAACTTTAATTGGTTTGTGTATACGTATTAAACTGGAACGCAGTCTGCCACATAATATTAAAATAGATATATATATCAAAAAAGGCGCACATACAACAGAAAACGAAAGTGAGTAAAAAGTTGTATTTAAAAATTTTTATAAATAAGTGGAGTCGTAGTTTTGGTTCATCAATTAGACAAACTTTTTTGTATAAAAAATATGTTTGTCATCATCTTCAAAGGTAACTGCAAAGTTATTTATACTGTTAAGATGATTTTTAAAAAATGAAGTCTGGATTTTATAAATATTTTGGTTGATATATACAGCCTCGGTTTACTTTTATTACCGTGAACTAATTGATCAAATAAATTATAATATTTCTTCCAGTACTTCTATTAAAAATAATATTCTAAAAGTGCTAAAAGTTCGTGCAAATGAATATGTACACAATATAGGAATTATATAGTTTTATTAAATTAGGAAAACAATGACATCTGTCTTTTTGTATCGTTTTGTTTTATTTAAATTATTATTAATAACCATATATACGTTTAAAATATTTTTCTACTCTAAAAAATACAATGTTTAAAAGTTATTAATAAAGTAATTTTAAATTCCTACCTATTTAAATATTTATTAATTTTATTACTACTTATTTAAAAAACTCTTCTCTAGTTTTCTCAACTATGATTTAAACATGGAACATTGTCGTGGTGTTAAATCCACAAATTGTTTTTTGAAAGCTCAGGCTTTTTCGCATTTGCGTTAAACTTGTAAGTTAGTAGTTCTTATTGACTGTATGATCAGTTTTTGAAATATCTTAATGAATTATTTGATTTTAAACAAATAAAACAGTTTGTATATGACTAATTTGGTGTTGGCTTTTCGTCTCAACTTTCATTCATATCCTCTGGTTTCATCAGCAGTTGTAACGACTTCAAGTACATGCCGCCATTTCAACTCAAAACAATCTTGTTATCTTAGAGGGATTGAGACAAATACCAAATAATACAGTCAATATATTCATCAGTTTGCTATGTTGCTCTTATTAAGTATAGTTATTTGTCTTAACTTTCATTTATATATTATTGTTTCGTCATCGATTGAGTGTTCTTAACACATTTCACTCTTTATAATACGCAGTGTCGTCATCTTAACACAAAGCAATCTTTTTCTCTATCTTCTCTCCCTTGGAGGAATGAAGACACATATTAATTAAGCTCTGAAAATAAATACAGTTATTATA